TTTATTAAGCGTTCACTTGGTGTGCATTTCTTTTTTCTACGAGATTATATTCTATTTTTACAAGCTTTTATTTAACTCACTTCCTCTGTCTGTCTAGACGGAAACGCAGGAGTGAAAATTCGGACAGTTCTACTTGACCGATACGATTCAAAGTTAGCACGTGGGTCAGGAAATGAGGACAATGCAATCTGAAACTAAATTTGACTTAATTGGATGCCTAATTAATTTTTTATGAATTAATTACAATTTGGACCGAATTAGTAGGCATGTCTAGCCAACCACACCACACGCGTCATCAATAGCTGCGCCATCACGACCACGTAATGGCTGCGTTCAAAAACCATTGCGCGCCTACTGAACGTGATATTCAGTAGGCGCGCAATGGTTTTTAGTCATGTAACTCTATTGTAGATAAAACATGTAAAGTACTGAAAAAAAATTCATAAAAAACGTTTTAATAACAAGCTTTTATGTAATGATGCACTAAAAAGTAGAAAATAAATTATAGACTACTATTTAAATAACTATAAAGAAAAGCGTGGGTGTCTTCCTTAACATTAGTAAAGGTATCCAATAGATACTAAAGTGACCCACGCTTTTCTTTATAGTTATTTAAATAGTAGTCTATAATTTATTTTCTACTTTTTAGTGCATCATTACATAAAAGCTTGTTATTAAAACGTTTTTTATGAATTTTTTTTTTAAAAATTTGTGTAATTAAAATGGATTAAAAATCATGTTTAGAAGTCTATATCCTGAGTTGCCATCCCCCGTAGTGTTATATTAGAATATTCGAGAAAGTTTAGGGGAGATCACTCCCGGTTTATTTCTCTTTATGTGCTAAAATGATTTGTTACAAAACAAAATATTTACAAAACATAACTTATTTATTATTTATTTTATTCCTACTTTCATATTCACCATATTACTATCAACACTTTTTTCAATATCGGCATTTCATTGCATCAAATTGCATACGATTTTCAGAATTCCCCAGCAATCAAAGCATAGTTTTTTCTGTGCACCCCATTACAACGGTAGATTAAGAACCGCTGAAGTGGGACTGAATTTAATTCACCGTAACAAACGACTGCGCTGAGCGGTTGTCTCGCGTCAGAGTTGTTTCATTGTGATGTTGGCGCCACGAATAGAATCTAAGATCAGACGTCAGTCTAAAGCTGTGAGCTTAGAGCTGTTTGACTGAGTTAAGTTCAGCTCATCTTGTCAAAACACAAAACTGCTGCTGACCTGTTGATATATATATATATAATTATATACATTATATATATATATATATATATATATATATATATATATATATATATATATATATATATATATATATATATATATATATATATATGAACAACATCCAAAAGACCACTTTATTACGCATGAATAATTTCACAACACGAACCATCTGACCACAAGAACCATCTGACCACACGAACCATCTGACCACACGAACCATCTGAACACACGAACCATCTGACCACACGAACCATCTGACCACATGAACCATCTGACCACACGAACCATCTGACCATAAGAACCATCTGACCACATGAACCACTTAACCACATGAACCACTTAACCACATGAACCATCTGACCACATGAACCATCTGACCACATGCACCATCTGACCACGCGAACCATCTGACCATAAGAACCATCTGACCACATGAACCACTTAACCACACGAACCATCTGACCACATGAACCATCTGACCATACGAAACATCTGACCACACGAACCATCTGACCACATGAACCACTTAACCACACGAACCATATTACCACACGAACCATCTGACCACATGAACCACTAAACCACACAAACCATCTGACCACATGAACCATCTGACCACACAAACCATCTGACCACACGAACCATCTGACCACACGAACCATCTGACCACACGAACCACTTAACCACACAAACCATCTGACCACACGAACCATCTGACCACACGAATCCTCTGACCACACGAACCATCTGACCATAAGAACCATCTGACCACATGAACCACTTAACCACATGAACCATCTGACCACACGAACCATCTGACCACACGAACCATCTGACCACATGAACCACTTAACCACACAAACCATCTGACCACATGAACCATCTGACCACATGAACCATCTGACCACACGAACCATCTGACCACACGAATCCTCTGACCACACGAACCATCTGACCATAAGAACCATCTGACCACATGAACCACTTAACCACATGAACCATCTGACCACACGAACCATCTGACCACATGAACCATCTGACCACACGAACCATCTGACCACACGAACCATCTGACCACACGAACCATCTGACCACACGAACCATCTGACCACATGAACCACTTAACCACATGAACCATCTGACCACACGAACCATCTGACCACACGAATCCTCTGACCACACGAACCATCTGACCACACGAACCATCTGACCACACGAACCATCTGACCACACGAACCATCTGACCACATGAACCATCTGACCACATTAACCATCTGACCAGACGAACCATCTGACCACACAAACCATCTGACCAGACGAACCATCTGACCACACGAACCATCTGACCACATGAACCATCTGACCACATTAACCATCTGACCAGACGAACCATCTGACCACACGAACCATCTGACCACACGAACCATCTGACCACATGAACCATCTGACCACATTAACCATCTGACCAGACGAACCATCTGACCACACAAACCATCTGACCAGACGAACCATCTGACCACACAAACCATCTGACTACACGAACCATCTGACCACATTAACCATCTGACCAGACGAACCATCTGACCACACAAACCATCTGACTACACGAACCATCTGACCACATGAACCATCTGACCACACGAACCGCAGCGAATAAAATAGTGAATTACTCTTTTGACTTTCTATCAAGAGCTCTCATTTGATTAAAAAAATATTTTTGTTTTCAAATTGGAACCAGACGCTCATAATTATTACCCTTCATTGATGATATTTTCATTTGAATGTTTGGCATTTTTTTTTCATAAACAAACATTACTTTAAAACATGACTTTGTTTTTATTTTCTCATATTTACGAAGTATAAAGTCTTGTAATCGTGCACATTTTTTTTAAAATCGAGATTTTTCCAAATCTTGACGTTTTACACCTCATTGAGTCGGAAAAACATAGTTTTGCAATCTTGTCCGTATATCTTTGTGTGTGTATGTGTGTCTGTGTGCGTGTCTGTGTGTGTGTGTAAGCACGATAACTTGAGTACCGTTACAGCTAGGTTGATGAAATTTCATATATAAGTAATATATCAGAATCGTAGATCCGTATCAACTTTTGAGCGATTTCCAATAACAGGAAGTGGAACTTTTTCTACTTTAAATTTTTCAAAAGCCTATAACTTGAGCACTATTTCATATAGATAAATGAAATTTCACACGTAAGTAAAAGTTCTAATTCTCTGCCTTCTATCAAATTTTGAATAATTTCCGCCGATCGAAAGTAGTAATTTACGCTATTTCCGATTTCTCAAAAAAAAAAAAAAAAAACCGCATCTGAATTTATAAAATACTAATAATATCGCGCACTATTTTGCACATTTTATTTAGCGTTTACTTGGTATGCAATTCTTTTTTATTACGAGATTCTATTCTATTATAAAAAGTTTAAGTTATTAAAAATAGATTGAAAATATTGTCTATGTCCCGAGTTGCCACCCCCCGTGTGTTATATTAGACGAGCCGACCCGCGGCATATCAAACGCCGCTATTTAGTTGTTATTTTTTTTACTTTTCGGTTATTCATAATTTGTGAATTCGACACTACCAACGCTGCAACTGAAAATATTTCTTTAAAACACTATAAGTAGCTCGTTAAGGACGATAACCCCCCCCTCCTCCCCCCGCTCCGTAAAAGTAAACACCACTTAGTTACCCCCCCCCCTACGTTTAAAACCGTTTCAAACTAAATTACCTGCCCCTAATAGTCGTCACTAAACCCGGCTCTGTTTGTAAACATTTAGAGTGAACCACAGCTCACCAGACCATGTAGGGGTGGGAATGGTAGGGAGCGCGTTTACAGCTTGTTTTCTAGCGTCTCCAAGAAGAGAATTATATATATAGATTATTCGAGAAAGTTTAGGGGAGATCACCCCCGGTTTATTCTTTTTGGTTTCTTTTGTTGTCACTTTTATAAATATTTTAAAGTTTATTGTTTAAAAACTTATCTCTTGAAGACGGTGATCAATAAGGTAAAGTTGGGGGTAATGTGCGAACTGAAAGCTCATCAACTGTTTATAATCTGTGTTATATGGAACAGCGTTGCCAAAGCAGTAGCACACAAGGCTGCTAACCCGAAAGTCTCGAGTTCGAATCTGGGTCCAATTCAGTAGATGTCGCTGAATCAACTGACTCCTGATGGGTACCTATCTCATGATAGGGAAAGTAAATGCGGCTTGGCACAGTGTTGACCACATTTCTCCTTCTTATGCCGAGGTCAAGAAACATTAACTTGACTTACTCTGCCCAATGGATCGTTAGGCCTAAAGAGGATTTTCTTTCTTTTTTTTATAGCTCGCATCATGATGTTTATTTGCTATTGTTACTTTTTTTTGTTATTTTTACTTACACAACTTACAGTTTAAAACATTTTTTAACCGCAAAATATCCATTTTTAGGACAGTGCTATAATCACTTGCACGGACCTTTTTATTTAAAAAAAAAATATATTTTCCATTCGCGTCATCGTTGCGAGACTGACGTCACAACTCGGCTACTTAGCTAATCCGCCCACAATCTCCTCCGCCCACACCCCTCCCCCTCATGTCTCAACCACGTGACAAATCTAACCCAATAGCCGCGATGTGTACCACAACGACGCCTTGAACAAATATGTACACACGAGATCCAGCGTTGCCCGGTGTACAAGACATTCACCTACATCATAGTCCGAACCTCCCACGGTTCGCCTGTTTGCAGGGCC